AGGCAGTGACACTGTGATGCTGTGAGGCTGCGATGCTGTGAGGCAGTGACACTGTGATGCTGTGAGGCTGGGATGCTGTGACCCTGTGATGCTTTAAGAATGTGATGCTGTGCACTGTGATGCTTTAAGACTGTGCTGTAAGGCTGCGATGCTGTGAGTCTGTGATGCTTTGAAGCTGTGATGCTGTGATACTGTGAGGCTGTGATGATGTGATTCTGTGAAGCTGCGATGCTGTGAGGCTGTGCTGCTGCGATGTAGCAACTCTGTGATGCTTTAAGGCTGTGATGCTGTGAACCTGTGTTGCTTTGAGGCTGTGATTCTGCAAGCCTGTGATGCATTAAGGCTGTGCTGCTGTGACGCTGCGAGGCTGTGATGCTCTGATGCTTTAAGGCTGTAATGCTTTGAGGCTGTGATGCTTTAGAACTGTGACACTGTAATACTGTGACGCTGTGAGCCTTGGGAGAAAATCCCCAATATCTTTGTTGACAAAATTAATTTATTTTCCTATTATTTTTTCTGTGAAACAGATGGAGGCTGACCATCAGAGTCTGTCTCCGTGTTTCAGAACATCACACTGAGGAAGAAAAATGTGTTCTTATTTCCGATTCCCGTTGCCTTTGATGAAGGATTGATTAGATAAACCAGGTATTGGATTGTAACTGTAAATGCTGAACGTCCTCCAGGAGAGATCTGGCAACAGTTGTGCTATTATGTATTTATTCTAATGTGGGTTTTTAAACACTCACTACCCAAATAAATGACTTTCACCATCATTTTCTCAGACTTCTAAAACCTTTCACAGTATGGAACATTTTGTGGGCCTTTTTGACCCTTATTTTCTCAAACAATAGGAGCAAACGCTGTTGTGACTGTGATAAAAACGCAGCGCAGTAACCCAAAATGATTCAGCTTTATTTTCTCCGTATAGCTTTGACTGTACACAGTTCATACCATTGCACAGAAGGCATAAAGGAATAGACTCAGTGCTCTGTTCAACACATGGCAATAAATAGTGCTCATAAAACAAGACTGCCAACACACTTTCTGAAACTGTACAAAAATTTACAACGATTAACACATAAAGGTTCAGAGGCGATGCAGAAAACCACTCGTTTGTCCTTCGCTGTGTGGATCTGAGGTTGGCTTTGCTTCAGGTGCTTTACTGTAGCTTTCCATTACAAATGTTTGTGTGAAACTGAGAAATATAACCAAACGCTCACAAACGGAAGGTTTTTCTTGGGGGTTATTCTTCAGTTTAGCTGCTAAAATGATTTCCTTTTCCCTAAACAGTAGTTCAGAGAGTGTCTGTCTTTAAGGGAAGTTCTGCACATGCTCACTGGACCTTTCAGCTCGACATTAATCCAACAGCAAAATAACAAGAAGGATGCTAATGTTACTGTAACTGTACCTGCTGACCAATACTGACCCAATGAGAAATAAACACTGGACATTTCTCCCAGAACCTGGCTGATTTAACAGCTGGTCAATAATATCTGCCAATATTAATGACCTATTGCATTGAGAACAAAACAGAATAATATTTCACTTTAAATCAACTAAACATGGTTCTTCAAGGGTTCTTTAGTAAAGACAATGGTTCTACTTAGAACTAAGAACACTCAAAGAGCAATTTGCATGTTTAAATGGTTCTTTTATTGTATAATTGTTCTTCACGTTGATGGAGAATGTGCTGTATGGTTCTATATAGCACCAAAAAAGTTCTGTTCTTGTTATGGTGTCAAGCTTGGAACAATAACAGAACCCTTTTCAGTGCTATATAGAACCATATGCAACATATTCTCCGTCAATCTGAAGAACGATTTCACCATGCAAAGAACCATTTAATCATGCAGAGGGTTCTTTGAGTGTTCGTGACTCTATATAGAACCACTGTTCTTACTAAGATCCATCTTTTTTAAGGGTGTAGGCTAAAGCATACTGGCACAGTGGGCAGACCCAAAGAAGATGGCATGACTGAGATAAAATCCGACAAGAGATGTGCATGATGAAAAACAATAGTTTTATATTAATAAATTCTCTCATATGTGCCGATCAGGGCAGAACTTGCAATCTTTTGTTTTTGTTTTACAAAAAAAATGTTAAAAAGTTGGCAAAAGTGGCGACATACAGTTTTATCTGTAACTGTTTTGGCTGCAACATTGGCAGGATTCGAATTCGCGCTGGGGCAAAGTCTTAGAATTTAGGTCATTTAAAAAAATATGCAAAGTATTCTAGGAAGCCCCGCCCCCAGCGTTATAAATATGTATTATTTTATGAATTGTATTATTTAAGACTGTTTGTCCTTGATGTTTATTTAAGAAACCGTGCCACTCAGAACAACTTCACAGTTAAGAACTGACAATCATATCAGTCTGTTTAACTGAAATGACTGGAGTGTAAAATCAGAATATAAAGCATAAATAAAAAATGATCAGATATTCGTTATTAGAATTTTTAGTTGCTTAAAATCAGTATTGGTATCACAAAATGTTCAAATCAGGCCCTTATTTCCAAATTAACTACCAAACAAGTAAACTTGTATTTTATCTCTATGATTTGTTAGTGGATGCTCTTAATTTAAATCAGAAGTCCTTTGTTTTTTTCCACTGAATCAGTAAACAGGTGCTGGAATTTTAAGCAGCATTTCGCTGCTGTCGGAAGAAAACCTCGTATCTCCATTTTTGCTGATTTTCAGTTTTTGACATATTTGAATTTCACGATGAATGGACCAAAAGTAACGGCCCAAAATGACCTGGACAAAACTCTGGTTCCACTGACTTACATTAAAAGTAAAGTATGTTTTTTCCTTCTCCTGTAAAGTTACCATTTTGGAGATATGAGGTTTTCTTCAGACACCACACAGGAGGTACAGAGGTACAGAAAATGTATTCAAAATGTGAGACTTTGCTCTGATAGTGGAATTTTTTAAATTAAAAAAAGTACGAGGCCTCAAAGAGGCTCGGGAAATGTTTTAGCAGCACAACAGCAAAGCGGCCAGTGGCTGTCGAGGGAACTGATCCGGCTCACTGTAATGAAAATGCAGCGCTGACTTTAATGACGACTGCAGAACAGTAAAATTAAAAATCATTTCAGTCAGAATTTTTAGAATTGTTTTTATCAGTTGCAGTTGAAAAATCTTGAACTCTGGAAGTGCTGCAGCCCCCTCAGCACCCCCCACTTCCTGCGTCCCCATCAGTATATAAACAAACTCAGCCCGGTCAGAGATGCCGAAATACAGAGTGTGTAAAATATGAAAATTCGAATCAAATTCCAGATGATAGAACAGCACTGCGAAGTCTGTCTGAGAGAAAGACACTGCTGGAACACTGACGCCTCGGGGAAACACATCAATAACAAAACAACTGGACTTCATCATCATCACCACCGTCATCATCATCATCATCATCATCATCACCATCATCATCATTCATCTCCACCCACTGACACACAGGAGCACCGCAGAAACAGAAACGGTGATTCTTCAATTCAGGGAACTTTTCTCATCATTTTAAAGATCATTAATCATTTTATCCTCTTATTTGTGCCTCATTAACAACATTTTTCTAATTTTCTGTGTGTTGAAAAGTAAAATGGGCCACAGTTTTAGAATTTTCCCCCAGACTCAAACTTTTTCACTCCTTATTTGTAATAAGGTAGCAAAAAATGTTACATTTGTTAAACAAAAAAGTTTTTTTGGAAAGCGACGAAATGAGCAATCTGTACATTTTTATAACAGATTTCTTCTGTCCCCATTTTCACTTCTTATCAAGGATTTTAGTGAGCAATATAATTTTTCCAAACGATTGTTTGAGGTTCATATTGAAACAACATGGATACCACGGTAAAAAAGTGGACAGAAATGTAAGTAGTTTTAAGATGGATATTATGATCTGAGGGTATTTTTATTGATTACCAAATACGTTACAATTTGGGAATTGTTGTTTGTTGAGAAACAGCCAGTAATTTACATTTATTTAACACACATTTTATAGTAGTTTTACAGGCAACTTTTTCTCCAAAAATGTGAAAATTATCATTACCATCACAACTAACTGTGTGTGGGGAAAACCCAATAACAATGATCATGATAACTCGTTATTTATTTATTAAAATGTATTAATTTATTAGAAGTCTAATTGAGTAAATTAAAATGTATTAATTTATTAGAAGTCTAATTGAGTAAATTAAAATGTATTAATTTATTAGAAGTCTAATTGAGTAACTGAATACTAACTGGGCTCCTGAGTGCTTACTGTTGGCCCTGTCATCAGTAGCTCATGCGTTCGATCCCTAGTGATGCCACAGCCATCCGTAAGTGGGAGTCCAAGACAGCATACGTGTCCTCCCTCTCCCATCACTGTTAGCTGACGTGACAGAATTAGCAGTTAGCATTCTGCTTCAAGCGTGCTGAGCTCTAGTGATGTTGTGGAAGTGGCAGTTCGTGTGAAATCTAATCAAACACTGGACATTTCATCAAGAGCCCGGCCGATATATCGAGCTGGCCAGTAACATCAGCCAATGTTGATGACTTACGGTTTTATTGGTGTTAATGGACTGAAATATCAACTGATTCTGAAAACAATAAGGAAAATATTATTTCATTTTAAATTAACTATACCCTTAAAACGAAGGTTCTTCAAGTGTTCTTAAATAAAGACAGTGGTTCTACACAGAACCATGAACACTCATAGAACGATTTGCAGGCTTAAATGGTTGGTACAGTGTGGTGGGTAACACCTCTGCTTTCTACGCTGTAGACTGGGGTTCAATCCCCACCTGGGTAAACACCCTACACTATACCGATAAGAGTCCTTGGGCAAGACTCCCAACACTACCTTCACCTACCTGTGTAAAATGATCAAATTGTAAGTTGTTCTAGATAAGAGCGTCTGGTAAATGTAAATAAATGGTTCTTTGCATCTTTATGCTGTACAGCACCAAAAAGGGTTCTGCTATTGTTATGATGTCAAGTTTGTATACAACAGAAGAACCCTTTTTGGTGCTCTATAGAACCCTCTGAGTGTTCATGGTTCTATATAGAACTACTGTATAGTTCTCATTTGTACCTTTCCTGACAATGTGAAATCATTTGTTTGAAAAAATGTGGTGGAGCTTCACGTCTCAGAGGAAGCCCATGCTGACCTTCACCCTTTCAGCTTCATAGCATCATGTGATGAAGTGAGGCCTACCCAGCAGGAGGAACTGGACACGAATAACTGGGGAGAAAATCAGGGGAAAAATGCCAAAAAAGTGCCCCAATTGAAGAATCATCCCAAAAGCGCTTCTTTTATGTTACTTATAGATTTAAATCGTGTATTTTATTTCATATATTTTTTTATCTTATTGGAATTTATGTCGACACCTTCATCACAAGAGATTCTACATTCTGTAGTTGGCAAATCAAAAAGATTGTGATTTCTGATTAATGAACAGGACGAAACGTCTTCAGTGGGGAACATGAAAGCTGCTCCTGTCGCACTGCTGCAGGTGCTGAATGTGGGTTTGTGCATTTCTCTCTCGTCTGTCGCTGGCCGTGTGCGGTGGCAAGGCGGGGGGATTTAAAGTGCGTGGGCCAATCACAAGGCTCGTAAAAGACCGTGGTGGTGCTCGCCATTCCGAAACATGCATGGGCCGCCTCTTTTTTTTTTAATGTATAACATGGTCAGTGGTCAGTATTGCTGCTCGTAGCTTCAGGAAAACCTCGGCGCAGATTCATGCCACCAAAACTGCTGAATCCAGTCTTGAAAGGACTTAAAATATAAATAGAAACAAAACAACATTATGGTACAGTGGAGCACCGTCAGTGTGCCATTCGGTGCAGGAGGAGCTCCGTCCGTCAGTTTTTTCACGCTGGACTGGGTAACTGACCGGTCAGTCCATTAAAGTTCCATGAAAGGTGCCCCTTTCTGCACAAATGTTGCCCAGTGGTCAAAAAAGTCCAGTGTCCTTGTTTCATTTTCCTTTTCTTGCCTTTGTACTGGTCCATCTCGTTCGCCCCCCCCCCTCACTGCATGTCATCAGGAGCTCACTTTATGCCTGTATGACCTTTGACCTCAGAACTGGGAGTGGTCCATCTCGTCCAGCCACGACGCAGGGCTGGTGGGGAAGTCTGGGTAACCTGTGCTGCTTCCTGTGGAGAGGTCAGAGGTCGGGCCCCCTGCTCTAAGTGCCTGACCCCCGGCTGGCTGCCCTGCCCCCCCAAGCCCCTCCATGCTGAAGCCCAGGCTGCTGAGCAGCGGCGTGTGGCCAGGCAGCGAGCTGACCGATGAGGGAGACTGGGGCAGGCCGTAGGGGCTTCCAGCCCGCAGCTCGTGGTACGGCGGCCCACCGCCCTCCAGAGAGAAAGCCCCATTCATCACGCTTCCGCCGGACACGTCCCCCACGCTGCCGTACAGGCCGTTAGCGTGGCCGAGGTCAGACAGGATCTGCTCCTCTGCTGGAGATACGAAGAGACCATTAGCATAATGCAGGACAAGTCAGCCGGCAGCTAAAAGCACAATTAGCATAAATGATGTAGCAGCTGTTTACGATTCACATCTTTACATAAATAGTTTGATCAAAAATCTAATTTACAGATTTCAAACTTACCCTAAAAGCAATTGATCAGCCAAGACATGTTCAGTGTTTGAAGTTCTTTAGTTTTAGCACTGAAGGCTAAAAGCTAATGAGGCTAATGAGGCTAAAAAGTAATGGAAGTTTTTATATACAAATATACGGTGTGTTTATGGCTGCTGTCGGATTGCAATTGTAACTTCTCCTTTAAAGTTACCATTTCGAGAAACATCTCAGAACAAAACCTTGTACCTCCAAAATACATATTTCAGTGGTGGTGATAGGAACCAGACGTCCACCTCTTAAAGCTCCCTCACAGAAAGTTACTACATGAAATGGTTATGAATTCACTGCCTGATGACTGAGACACTGTTTTAGGATAGATTTGAGAAGATTTGGGCCCAAAATCCATTCATGGTGGAGGGATACATAATATGCAGGGTGTTGTGAGGCAAAATAGTCCCCAAAGAAAACGTATTATTTCAGATTTTCCACTATTTTCCATCATCAACATTCCTTATAAAAGCTCAGAAGACTCATGTAGGTTCACTGGTGGTTCTGGATAGCAAATAAAATGTCTATATTTGCGTTGTAGTCATGGCGACCCCTGGTTCCTATCACCACCACTGTAAAGACATCTGAACCGTTTCACACCAAACCACTCTGAATCTCTCTGTTTACATCTCAAATACTGAATTATGGAGAATTGAATATGATGAAGTGTGAAATTATTTAAACATGCAGTTTGTTGATGCTAATTGGTACAAAAATGTCCATTACATTTTAGCCACATTAGCCTCGTAGCTCCAGAGCTAAAACTAAAGAAGTAAAGTTCAGACACCAAACATGTCTTGGCTGATCGACTACATTTGGGGTGGAGAGGGTAAATTTGGAAAACAGAGAGCTGCATGCAGCTCTAAATGAAAGGATTAGCTTTAGGCTAACGGGGGCAGGTTTGCACAGACGTGGCCAGCGTCTCTGATTTATTGTCTGTTTATACTTCAGCCTGTGTGATCGCAATGCAAACTGATCCTCTCTCCTGACCACACGGTGCTGCTTCAGTAACAATGCTCCAACATGCTTTCTGTCTAATTGACTAAAAGCTTCACCCAATTTATAGAGTTTGCGCTTTGCTTTTTTCCGTTTCTCGTAAACATTGCCTTTTAAAAGTGGAGGTAGACTTTTACGAGTTCCCAAAACGGACTCGCAAAGATCAAATGGTCATAAAAACACAGCGCGTACCGAAACCTGCGCTAAACGGCCTGTCAGCTTTTCATCAAGGACTTTATTTTGAGAAAATGTGAAAGGGAGAGGAGAAGGAGATATGGAAGATCGGGGGAAATGGAGAGGAAGGAGAGTGTTGGAGAGAGAGCGAGAGAGCGAGGTTTTGAGAAGTGTTCAGACCTCTGAAGCTGAGCTCGCTGTCACTCAGGCCTCCGTCCTCTGCCGAGCTTTCCTTCTCCACCTTACTGCCTCCTCGGCTGCGCTTGACACTTTTGTAGAACTGACCCCAGCGATGGCGTCCAGCATCCTTCTTCAGCCTCTTCTCCTTCGCTCTTCTGTTCTGGAACCACACCTGAGAGAGAGAATGTAGGTTACAGGGCTGTGAGTGTTGTGCATTTGTAATATAAAAAGATTTATTTAAATATATATATATATGTTATGAATGGTTCTGTAAGCAACAAAAGTTCTAACTTCTTTTTTTTAGAGTAACATGAGTGATGTTTGTTTATTTCATGTTTGTTTGATGTTTGTTAGTGACGCCTTTAGAGGGCGACGGTGAGCGACGTTTGTTTATTTGATGTTTGTTTGTTTCATGTTTGTTAATGATGCCTTTAGAGGGCGACGGTGAGCGACGTTTGTTTATTTGATGTTTGTTTGTTTCATGTTTGTTAATGATGCCTTTAGAGGGCGGCGGTGAGCGACGTTTGTTTATTTAATGTTTGTTTATTTGATGTTTGTTAATGACGCCTATAGAGGGCGGTGGCGAGTGACATTTGTTTATTGGATGTCTGTTTATTTGATGTTTGTTAATGACGCCTTTAGAGGGTGGCAGTGGGCGATGTTTGTTTATTTGATGTTTGCTTATTTGATGATTGTTTATTTGATGTCTGCTTATTTGATGTTTGTTTATTTGATGTTTGTTAATGACGCCTTTAGAGGGAGGCGCTGAGCAACGTTTGTTTATTTAATGTTTGTTTATTTGATGTTTGTTAATGATGCCTATAGAGGGCGGCGGCGAGTGACATTTGTTTATTGGATGTTTGTTTATTTGATGTTTGTTAATGACGCCTTTAGAGGGCGGCGCTGAGCGACGTTTGTTTATTTGATGTTTGTTTATTTAATGTTTGTTAAGTGTTTGTGAATTGTTTACTCTTCTAGGTGAGGATAAAGTCACCAGGCACTACTGTATTACTGAATGCACGCCAGAATGTAAACGTGAATGGTGTGTTAATGTAAATAATCTCAGAATTTAGTAAACTTTTGTAATTTTTCAGAACTTTGTAAAGATCTTGCTAAAGCTACAGTCGCTAGGTAGCTCGTGCTAATGTTTCTAGCATGTATGCCAGCTTTATAAATCACCACCCTTGTGTTGCCCTTGTGTTCTGCCCCTATGTTGGCTAGCTAGATACTATACTACAGCTGCAGGGACTTGGCAGGTAGGGGGCGCCAAAGAGAACTTGGCGTAGGGTGCATGTCAGCTCAGACTCAAATCTGCTATACTCTTTAATTCCACGTAAGCCTGGAGATGATGAGGGTCATTCTGAAGACCTTCTCAGCCTTTTGGGGTCAGTAGTGGTCCCTCACCTGAACAACACGCATGTCCAGCCCAGTCTCGGAGGAGAGCTGCTCGCGGACGTGCCGCGCGGGTTTGGGGGAGTTCTTGTAGGCGCTCTTGAGGGTCTCCAGCTGTTTGGCCGTGATGGTGGTGCGAGGACGCTTCGCTCCGGTCTCTGAGTCGTCTGCAGTGAAACATCACAAAAAAGCTCTTCACTAAACAGACGGCAGTGAAACTGTCATACATACAGTTTATACACACACATTTTTGATTTTAATAACTTTTGTTGTTTTATATACCATAACAATTTAGACAATGCAGATCTATACACTCTAAATCAGACAACAAAAGATGCTTATTCAATATTTTAAATATTTGGGCAACAAGAAAATATTCAAAGATAAATAATATACTGTAATTTTCTATTTATAGGAATTTGTGTCATCTGCCTGATTAAATAAGGATTTATGAAAATTAATTAGTCATTTAAGAATTTTCGGTAACACTTTACTGTAGGGCACTGTTCATAAGGCTACATGACACCTACATAAGCTTGACATAACCCTTCATAAATGTTTATAATGCTTATTCCAATTTGCTATGAAGGTTACTTTTACCAATTTTGATCAAAGGTATCTAAAGTAGCCTTTATGACAGATGATGCCTGTTGGAATAAGCATTTATAAACATTCATATAGGGTTATGTCAGTCATCATGACAGGCTTAAGTAGGTGTCATGTAGCCTTATGAACAGTACTCTACAGTAAAGTGTTACCGAATTTTCTACAGCTCTGTTTATCATTCTGGATACATGTAACATTTTTTACAGCTTCCTGTTAAATACTATAATTATTTATGTCATATTTGTAATTGTTTAAGCGTGTGATGTTGAACAGGACTAACATATTAGAATAGTTTTATACATTTATCTGCCACCATACTCATTTTATGTTATTGAGCAAAATTTGGCGGTAAATTATTCAGTAATTCCACTAGTTAGTGAAATTGTAACACAGTGCTGTGCAGAAGTCAGAGATCCCCCTTCATGCAAATAACTTCCAGTCAAAACAATAAATTCCAATAAATTCAAGTTCTTCATTTTCCAGGCGATGTTTGTGAGAAGATTAGATTTAGAGTTTCCAAAACCCAAACTGATTAAAAGCTACAGAGAAAATGTGTCTCCTAACAACCACCCGGAAGACCTGGTCGACCCCCAAACTGCCCCCATCAGATAAACAGCACTCAAAGCTTTCATCTCTGAGAGAGAGGAGAAAATCAAGCTGCTTCAGATCTGAAAACATCCACAGGTGTTTCTGTCCATCCTTCCACTGTGAGAAGACGACTCAGCGCTGTGGGTCTGAAAGGATGTGTAGCTGTCAAGAAGAACCTCACTGAGAAAAGGAGACGGACACATCAAACAAAGAAGCTGAACGATGGACTGACCACCCCAGAGTCCAGACCTCAACACCACTGAATGTGTTTGATTACTTCAGAAAATGATCAACCAGCTTCTAAGACTGAACTTTGGAGGTGTGTCTGCAGATTCTTTGAGGAGCTGAAAGTGAGTCTCCTGAAGAGAATGGAAGCTGGAATAAAGGGAAAGAGTGACTCACTGACTCACACAGCTGAGATCAGATCTAGTTACTCAGGATTCTGGGTAATTTTCTGCTGAATCTGCTTCTTTTCTGACACTGAAAACTGAATAACTTGAACTTAATGGAAATGAAATCATGTTTCAATGATTTTCTAATTGAAAATAACTACAAATCCTCCACTGAGATACACTTCTGATCATTTTTAATGCACAGTTACTGTTTATTTGCTGAATTCAACATATTGAAGGGGAAAATACAACATAAAATGTGCAAAAGTTATGGAACGTTTTGTATTTTATGTTTTATTTTTTCAATATGTTAAACTCAGCAAATAAATATGAATTGTGCACTAAAATTTGTGGAAAAACGAAAGTTTGTTTTTTTAAGATGTGCTAAATTATTTTTTTTTACAAATCAACAAAACATATGTTTCCAGGAGCATTCATTCAAATGTTTATTTTTGTTTTCAATTAAAAAAGAAAACAGCTTCTAAGACTGAACTTTGGAGGTGTGTCTGCAGATTCTTTGAGGAACTGAAAGTGAGTCTCCTGAGAAGAATGGAGGCTGGAATGAAGGGAAAGAGTGACTCACTGACTCACACAGCTGAGATTAGATTTAGTTGTTGAGGATTCTGGGTAATTTTCTGCTGAATTGCTTTTTTCTGACACTGAAAACTGAAGAATTTGTACTTAACGGCTGTTTTGACCTCATTTTGAAAGCTGGCTGTGCAGGTCCTGAAAACAGCTAACAAAAAACAACAAACGCAGCTGTTCAAACACTTAATATTAATATTAACCAGCTGGCTGATTAAGCTGCCTGGTTACTGACCACCAAGCAGTGTTATTTTGCTTTTAGTTATATTGTTTGACACCTCTGCTCATTTTCACACACAATTACTGTTTATTTGCTGAATTTAAGATATTGAGGGAGAAATATAATATAAAATGTGCAAAAGTTGTCACATTTTGTATTTTATTTTTTTAATGTGTTAATTGTGCACTAATTTGTAGAAAAAAAGTAAAAAAGCGACGTTTAAAATTTTTGATTAAATTTTTTTTTTTTTGTAAATTGTTATCGCACCTTTCCTAAACACTTGTCCATTTGTTAAAGGTAATCAAACCCATTCTTTGTATATTAATGAAGTGACTGGATAAAAAGAAGCAGTTTAAACTTAAGAAATATTAACATATAAAGATGCTTGGATTCCTGGACACTTTATTTGCCAGATTGGAAGTATTTTTTTCGGGATCAGGCAACTGAAAACCTGGACAACACTGCAAGAAATAGTACCTTGTCAAGTAAAATGATCTTAAATATAGTCAGTAGCTCTAATATTTCTCCTGTGGACATTGTTGTCAGCTTCACTTAATCTTATAATAAGTGCACAACCATCTCAAAATGGGAAATATTAGATTCATCAACTAGATTTAAGATCATTTCACTTGACAAAAGACCATTTTTTGCAGTGAATTCAGAAAAATAAGGAGCAGGTGGCAACTGTAACTGCAGGGTTTGGTGTTTTTCCTGTATTAACACACCTGATTCAGTTCTAAAAAGACTCAGTAATTAGCTGATAATTAGCTGATAATTGCTGATAATTGCTGATAATTGTTTATGTAGGCAGGAAATTCTAATGCAGGAGTTTTTTTTATTAAGGATTTGGTCGCAATAAGAGAAAAACCTCAGCAGATTTAATCTGGATGTGAGATTGTTTTGCTCAGTGAACTCCTCGAGATGAAGACTGTATTATTAAACTATTAGCATGACCGGGATCGCTTCGGCTTCTTCGCAGGCAAGCCAGGAGGCGACTTTAATTGACGAGATAAATCTAATTCATTACATCAGAAAGGAACGGCCGTGGCGAGGGGGGTTCCGATCCGAGTCGGGGGGTAAATAGGTGTGGGAAGTGGGCAGCAGTCTGTGCGTGCGTGTGTGGTTCTCACAAGACCAGTCGATATGGCCCTCAAACTGCCTCTGAGAGGCCCCGGGGGACGTAAATCTCCACCGAACGGCCGGCTGGCCGCTGGACGTTATTGGGGCCCTGCCGTAAAATCGCATTGCTTCACTTAACATAATCAATCAGGAGCCTGAGGAAATCTCCATAAATAAAGCGGGAGATGCTTTCAGAGGCAGGAGCATGAAGGGTCAGATCAGAGGCTGAATTTAAAACACTTACGCTCAAACGTCACCGAGCTGGACTCTGATTTCACTCTCTTCATCTCCAGGTTTACTGTAAAACAGACACGTCCTGCCTTGTCTTTGCTCCACAGTAGTAGTATGTCAGGTAGGCTAAAAACAGGGGAGCGAGTCTGTGTTCACATGGTTCTATGTTCAGCTCTTTATGAGATACATTGTGTCTCAGTATGACACATTAAAGGAACCCCTGAAGGGTCCTGGTTAACTGGTTCCTGTTTAATGTCATAGGATTATCAAAGGTCATGCAAGCAAAGTTCTCAATACTAACGCACTTTAGCCCTTAGCTCCAGTCATAGTGCCAGAAACCATATAATCAAGATTAATGAACAAGTCCACATGTGTTGAGGCGAGTAAGTGATGATTGAGACGTGTAGTGCTTGGTTTAGTGTGGTGGGTAACACCTCTGCCTTCCACACTGTAGACTGGGGTTCAATCCCCCACCTGGATAAACACTACACCCATAAGAGTCCTTGGGCAAGACTCCTAACACTACCTTCACGTACTTGTGTAAAATGATCAAATTGTAAGTCGCTCTGGATTAGTAAATGTAATTTAAATGTAACTTGTACGATGTTAACTGGCTAATGCTAATAAGCTTCCATTACTTCCCTTACAGAAAAGTCACGTTTCACATTGTGCAAAAACAACAAGTGTTTACAAGTAAACACTTATGAATAATGTGTGATTACGTGACATGAGGTGGCGTTCACACGTTGGAATCATGAGTGGTTGGTTTGTGCTCGATGTCCACTCTTCCTTACTTCATACACTTGTTTTGAGGCCAATAATTACCCATTACTTATTCAGGCAAGGTTAGCTGTACTTTAAAAACTATTGTCAGACAATTGATCATGTCAGTCTTTTAAAATTAACCATATGTTCAAAAAATAGAGAACGGCGGTCTTTAGTACTGATCTACACTGTAAAAAGTGTCTCGTCAGATCTACCTAAAAATTGACTTCGTGTGGTAACGAGTGAATTAACTAGTTTTATTCGACCCAAATAAATGCTTTGAATGAACGATTCTTTCGATCACTGTAGTTTGTAAGGTTGAATAAAACTAGTTCAATTGCTTGTTACCACATGATGTCATTTTTAGGTAGATCTGACGAGACACTTTTTACAGTGTATGCATCCCTAGTTTTTTATGAAAAACAAACAAACAATAAAAAAACAAAGGCGCATTGGCTGACTACAGTTGGACTAAGGAGGAAAAACTGACTAGGCTTTTCTTTAATCCAATGGTCAGCAACCCAAATATTAAGAGCCATTTTGTCCTTTCAATAAAAATCAAAGCACTTGGGGAGCCACAACATTAAATGTCCATTTTACCATCTTGGCTGTAAATATGTCTCAGTATGTGTTAAAGAACTAGGCTAGGCTAAAAAAATATAAACGAAACTCAGACTTACTTTGCTCTGCTTTAAGCTTTAGCTCAGCTATAGCTGCTTTTCTCGCATCTCTGAACAGGAAACTTTTCCTCAAAAGTAGAACAGTTTCTTGTAAAATGTCTCTCAGCATTTGACTTTTTACGAGGCTGAAGCTTCTTACTCACCAGCTTCTTGTTCGAATTTTCCCATTCCACCTTAAATGGTGCCTGAGGCGCCAGAATGTAACTGTTGCACCATTTAAGGTGGAACGGGAGAATTCAAACAAGAAGCTGGCGAATGAGAAACTGACTTCAGCCTCATAAAAGGTTGAACATTGAGACTTTTTAGTGTTTGTCAGTTTCTCACTGCAGATTAAACGTATCAGGAAACCAGCTGGAGTGATTATAAACACAAATAAGTCCATTCATCTCCAAATTATCGATGTTCATCTTAAATCTCTCTCTTTGCCTTTTCATTAACTACTAGCTAGTCGGGATTATCACCTGTGTTGCTATGGTGACCAGCAGTCTGCGCTGATCTTCAGGGTTAAAGGGTGAATTAGCAGTTCTACATTAACTCCAGAGTTTAAGACCATTTATTGTTAAACTGTGTTGAACGATCAGCAGAGCTTTATTTTACTGTAAAGGAGGATTATTTTACTTTTTACCTACAAATCTGATTCTGCTGTGGAGCCACAACAGGGACAGTAAAAGAGCCGCATGCGGATCCAGAGCTGCATGTTGCCGACCCCTGCACTAAATCATTACTAAATAATAAGCCTGTTGTTTAAAGGATTAAACAAGAACAATAACAACAAAAATCATCAACCAGCAGCAAGACGAGCAGCAGTAACGGTCAGTCAGTTTACCGTTCTGTTTGGCCGTCTCGTAGTCTGATTTGCAGACCAGTCGTCCGTCCTCCATCAGGTAGAACTCGTCTCCGGTGGCCAGCTGCCTGCTGCACATCACGCAGGAGAAGCAGTGCAGGTGGTAAACAAAATCCTGCGCCTTCCGAACAACCTGCGACGGAGGGATGCCCTGCTGGCAGGACGCGCATTTCGTCCCAAAGCGCCTGCAAACAGACACGGTGAGGTTAGCTGACCCTCTCAGAAACATTCAACAGAGACTTCAGGACGAGTTTGAACACGAAGCTAAATTAACTAGAAGAAAAAACCATGAAAATCATATATTTTTAAGAACAGACAACACTGTACTTATTAAGCCAGAAGAGAGGACACTGTTGCTCAATGTATGTTTTCTGTGTGCAGCCTTCTGTCCTTCAGCTTCATCAGTCGGACACAATTCATGATTTTATATTGTTTTGATCTTCTCGTTGGGAATCCTGACTGCTAGCCTAACCACTGAGATACAGGCTAATAATTGCAACCGAGCTGTTAGTGTAAGTCTTATTTTGGTCATAAAGAAAACAGCGATTCTCCCTTTATTCAATACAAAATGAACACCTGGGAGCTTTCAGTGCCAAAAGTTCTAGATATTGTGTCAATGTTCAAAGAAAACATGTATCTCTTTTTTTTGTACATTTTTATTTTTCTACATCATTTAAACAAACCAGCCGTCCTTTACATTGTGAGAAAATCTCATAATGAATGCTCTGTAAAAAGTGTCTCATCAGATCTGCTTAGAAAAATGACTTCATGTAGTGACGAGAAAATTAACAAGTTTGGTAACACTTTTTATGAATGTCACCTTTGTAAGCATCTATAAACACATTCATAACATGTTATAATGCATTCATAAGGCATTATAAACATAGCTATAAATATTTATAAAAATGCATTATACATTATAGCCATGTTTATTATGCATTATGAATTGTTAACATAATACATTATAAGTACTGATCATAACAAATTATAAGAGCTCATAAGTCGTATTTGTCCGCTCTAAGTAAAGTGAAGCGTACTGTACTAAAGCCTCCTCCAGTGTTCAGAGTGAGGCTTCAAGTTGAAGTATTTACTGAAGGATTTACTGAAACACTAAAACATTCACAGTAAAGCACATTACAGGCTTCAAATGTCAGAGTTTAAACTAGAGCTGCCATCAGTGTTTTACCCAATGTGGGAAAGGTAATGTTCACCACCGTTAGCTTGGTATTTGTCTTTACTTTACGCTCTCCAAGCTGGGACTGACTTCTTTGGCACTGACATTATAACATATTATTAACACTATTTATAATGCATTATATTAACAATTCATAATGTATAATAAACATGGCTATAAAGTGTAATTCAGTGTAATTCTTTTTTATAAATATTTATAACCACGTTTATAATGCCTTATGAATACATTATAACATATAATAAATGTGTTTATAGATGCTTACAAATGCGACATTCATAGAAGGTGTTACCACAAGTTTTATTCAACCTAAATAAACACTTTGAATGAATGATTCTTTCAATGAATGTAGTTTTAAGTTGAATAAAACTAGTTCAATTGCTTGTTACCACATGAAGTCATTTTTTTAAGTTGATCTGATGAGACACTTTTTGCAGTGTGGGCCAATAGAAATGCTCCAAAATCACTTGGAATAAAAAATCTTTACATTAACTTACATTAAAAGTTGAGAATGTTTGTGTCTTCTCCTGTAAAGGTACAATTTTGGAAGTACATGTTTTTCATTGGACAGCCATGATTAACTTAAAACTACCACTAAAACTAAAACTGGCAGTGAAAAACATGCTTATTTTTAAGTGTCTCGTCAGATCTAGTTAAATAAATGACTTCATGTTGTAACAAGCAATTGAACCAGTTTTATTCAACTTAAAAAATGACGTTGATTGAAAGAATCGTTCATTCAAAGTGTTTATTTAGGTTGAATAAAACGAATTTATTTACTTGTTACCCCATGAAGTAATTTTTTAAGTATATCTGACGAGCCACTTTTTATAGTGTATCATGGGGTACATATTAAGATAATCTAAATAAATTACACTGAAAAAAACTACCAGGTTCTAGCTATTAAGCAGGTAGAGTACACAGTAAAATATCCCATGTTTGGATAATTATTTGAAGGGTGCTAAGTGTGAACAAAGTTGCACTAAATTTGATCATAATGTCACACATTTATCACGGAAAATACACTGTAAAAAGTGGCTCTTCAGATCTACCTAAAAATCACTTCATGTGGCAACAAGTAAATTAACTAAATAAATACTTTGAATAAACGATTCTTTCAAAGTAATTTTTGAGCTGAATAAAACTAGTTAATTTACTTTTTACCACATGAAGTCATTTTTGGGTTGAACTGATGGGAAACTTTTTACAGTGCACCAAATAATCCCTCCGTTTATGAGACATTTCACTGCGTCCTTTTATCTACTTCAAAGCGAGATCTCGTTAGACATTCAGTGTAAATTACAGTGAGCTGTTTGTACCTCAGTGTTACCCGTGTTTTGACCCTTCCAGCCATAGAAAAGAAGCCAAACTACCACACCACAGTGGCAGAGACAGGAACCTGCAGTAGGTGATGAAGTTTTGTTTGGGCAACAAACGAAACGACTGTGTTTGTGTTGTAGATGCTGTGACCCTCTGGTTCCATTCACACTCAGCATAAACATCAGTAGGTTTGTCTAAAATGTTTTTCAAAACACTGCAAGACTTACTTGCTTTACATGTTGAGCAAATTGGGATGACATTTTGAAAAATTCAAGAAATTTAAATGTACTATTATTATATTTTTTAAATAACCTTCCATGACTTCTTAGCTACATTATTTACGTAGCTCCAGCGCTAAAACTTAAGAAGCAAGCTTCTACATTTGGGCTAAGAGGAGATGATATTTTGCTGAATGATCACTTCAGCAGTACATTTCCTTCTAATCTCTCCCTGAATATGTTTCTAAAAGTGCTAAAAACCCTCCTACGGCTCTATTTGTGGTTGCCAGATCCTCTCTGTTTGACAGATTGCCCAGATGAGTGTAGTGCAGCGTTTGGGGGAGACTCACAGTGAAGCCTCATAAAGCTCTGAGTCAGACCAGACTGTAAATCACAGCAGAGCCGCAGCTAAATAAACTCGCTTTTTCACCAAGGTGAAGTTTGTGTGCTCTGTCGCTCGGAAAAGAAGATGCAACCCCCCCAACACACACACACTCCTCTGCTCCCTCCCCCAGGACGGCAGCTTTAACATTAAAATCCCCCCTTTGTCCCCCCGGGCCAGTTAATAAAGTTAGCCTGCACTCTGGGCCTCGCTAGCCTTTTAGCCTCTTAGCTCTCATTGTGGCCCGTGACATTAAACTCTCTCAAACATGATTTAGTAAAAGCCCGCTCTGATCCTGTTTTGGATAAAAGTCAAACTTAATTTTATTCTTTAATGCCGCAGGGGAGGTTCGCTTCTAAAAAAAAGGAGCCGGAGAGGAGAAGAAATGTAAAGTTGCTGCGTGGGGGCCTCGCTGCTCAGACGCCGGGGGGAAATTCAATTGGGAGACGGCAGCTCATTCCCACACGCACATACTGACCGTATACAGACGTGTACACTTATATGGAGGTCTGAGCCCACCTTCATTTATTTATTTCAAATCCAGCCCAAAAATAGACATTAAAGCGCCGGTGTCATTAAATACTGAATGATTCCTGTTTTGATCCCTTTATTTTAAATGAAAGAGTTTGATGTAGCCTGCAGGGCTGTTATAGTTATGAAATTTTTAGTTTTTGTTCTGGTTTTTCATTTCATTTTTGGAATTTTTTGATGCAGTTTAGTTTAAGTTAGTCTTACATTTAATACATTTACATTTGATAGTTTTAGTTTTGCTTTTATTTTCTGAAAAGTGGTAGTTTTAGTTTAGTTTTTATTTCATTTTAGTTTTGGTTTTTAGTGTTATGATGAAGACCAAACACCAAACTCTCATTCACGTGCACTTTAAAAAGTGATGTATTGAATGGCGACACACTAACTTGTGACCCTTTTTAACACTTTTCGTGTCATATTGTTTTCTGATTTAACATTTTGTGTTAAAAGTAGCCCAAAAATCTGAGACAGAATGTACGGAGCCCCTCTGCTGACATCCTGTATAAATAACAATAATGCGTGGCCACACCGTATTAACTCTTAGTAACTTAGTAACTGACTTAATAAGGCATGGGAATGAGATAATTAAGTCATGGCCATGACTTAGTAAGGTGTGGGAACGAGATCATGCCTTATTAAGTCATGGCTATACATTATTTTTATTTATACAGATACAGGATGTCACCCAAGGAGCTCCATGAGAATGTGTTGTTTTTTAACACATTTTTAAGAGTGTGCAGAAAAAATAAAAATACATTTTTTATCTCAGTAATTACCATAATTTTGCAATGAACATTATAGATTTACTTTTTGTGTTTTTGAAAACTGTCAATTTTCTTTTTATTACAATCTGTAAAAAGTGTCTCATCAGATCTACATAAAAATTACTTCATGTTGTAACGAGTAAATTAACTAGTTTTGTTCAAACTAAATAAATACTTTAAGTGAACGATTCTTTCAATCAGTGTAGTTTTTTTAAGTTTCATAAAATTGGTTCAATTACTTGTTACCAAATAAAGTAATTTTTTTAAGTAGATCTGACGAGACACTTTTTACAGTGTTCTGACAGACTGTAATACACTACAGGAAGTGTAGGGGGCGATATGGCTTCTACTGTTTCATTTAAAAAGCCTCTATAATGTTCATATGATCCACACAGCCATTCTGACAGACTGTAATACACTACAGGAAGTGTAGGGGGCGATATGGCTTCTACTGTTTCATTTAAAAAGCTCTATAATGTTCATATGATCCACACAGTCACTCTGACAGACTGTAATACACTACAGGAAGTGTAGGGGGCGATATGGCTTCTACTGTTTCATTTTAAAAGCCTCTATAATGTTCATATGATCCACACAGCCATTCTGACAGACTGTAATACACTACAGGAAGTGTAGGGGGCGATATGGCTTCTACTGTTTCATTTAAAAAGCCTCTATAATGTTCATATGATCCACACAGTCACTCTGACAGACTGTAATACACTACAGGAAGTGTAGGGGGCGATATGGCTTCTACTGTTTCATTTAAAAAGCCTCTATA